CACGGACCGTTGCGCGTGGAGAGGCACCACACGGGACGTATTTGAGGCCAGCTAAATCAGTCATGGTCGCAGCCGTAACAAGTACAAGTACTCTGGCAAAGTGGTAGCCCAGTTCCATATTTATTCCACCGACCTGTGCTTTATGCCAATTTCCTTATGACTTTTGACTGCCATCCGATTACATACCTAAAATAAATTCCTGGCTAAGATTTGTGCTGCTCTTTTTGCTGGTTTACAACGTTAATCAACCTCCCTCCCCATTTCCCGCCTTTTAACAGACAGGGCGATGCCTCGAGCTACATGTACGTCGTCCTGAACGGTCGCTTCCGTGAGGTGCACGCCTATCCGGACGGCAGTAAGCAGGTGATCTGTGAGGTGGGTCGTGGCGCCTTCATCGGCTTTGTGGAGGTCTCGGGTGCTAAACCCAGAGTCAGCACCGTTATGGCGCTCCGGTTAGTTGCCTTTCTTTGCTACTTGCCTTGGTAGTGCCTAACACAGAATAGCCAATCTACCCTGACCATTTGCAGTGTACATCTCTTTACCCACGGTCAAACCTTCCGCTGTTTATTGGTCTTTTTATGCAGCTGAAAATTACTGAACTCAAGGCCAGACTACGCATTTTTCTAAAGCACTACTATGGAGTAGTAGAATTTCTGAAATTTTAACCGGTTTTTAGAAGAAAAAGTCTGTGCTGGACCGACTTATATCAGATCCATTAAGACACAACATAGAGAGAGCAGCTGTTTTTTGTATGCATAAGGGAGTCAAATGTACTTTCTGATCGTCTCAGCCCTTGCCCTTTGAATACTCGAAGTCTATTTTATCTGCTTAGTGGAGAGTATTAATAATTGAATAGAAATAATGCCATTTCAGTGAACATTTGTAGGTTCTTAAAGACGTTATAATTTAAAAGATACCCTTTCTTTGAGTACAAAATTTAAAGAAGTTGTGATTGGTCACCTAAAATTGGGCTTTTTTTGTACTAACTGTAATTAAATTTACATGAGTATTGAACAACAATCAAAAAATGTTCTTCTATTAGTTGCCTTTCTTCCTACCTCTCCCTGTCTTGGCAGTGCGTTTGGATGATTAACCCTCCTTCCCCCTATCCTAACACTCAATAGCCAATGTACAAACATTTATAGTGTACATGTTAGTACTGTTGATCTATTCGTTTTGCAGCTCGAATAACTGTAAGAACT